AACCATATTTATAAAATAAGAGTAAATTGAAAACAATTTATGTTATCATGCTTAAAGAAAACAATCTGCTCTCATATAACTCAAAGTGATACAAATTACTAGCCAAAATCAAGTAAATTTTGAAAACACATATTAATCAACATTTAAAATTTTGAGAACTCAACAGAACAGATTACAAGCGTGGATACTCAGTCTACAAGAGTAAATAACCAAACGCGGCTTATGCCACGAAAATAAACATGGACACACCAGTCCACGAGGGTAAGTAACCAAACACAATCATAGCTGCAAAACAAACGTGGACACACAGCCCACGAGGGTAAGTAACCAAACGCGGCTCAGGCCACAGAATCAAATACGGCTACGAAGCCCACGAATACCAAACGTGAGAGTAAAAATCATGAAACAAGTTAGCTAGTGTTTAACCACAGCGCGCTACGAACTAATGGAACTACCGTTAGCAGTAGTGTTTTGTATAGAGTTCTCTTAGAAATCTCGTTTCAAACATGCTAGAGAAATAATTATTTTTGAAAGTCAAATTTTTATTTTTAAGATCAAACTCGCATGAATTACTTCAAATATATGAAACTTGTTAAATCGATACACCATAATGAATGTACAACTTGTGCTAATCATGTAATCAAGAAATTTTGAAATTCAATAGGCAAAACTGCCTTCATCAATATTAGAAATATATTTCTTGAGAAAATGCACAAATCATAATATGACTATTCTTCATCATTATTTCAAAATTTCTAAAACTAACATAATTCATAAAAATGAAATATTTCAATAAAAGATTTTCAATAAACACTCATAAAGAATGCTATTCACTTACTTGTTGAAGTTTTAAATTCCTAAAAGTATTCTTCTTTTAAGTATTGTCAGGGTCTTGTTCTTACACACACCCTAAAAAAATATAAATATATACAATTTTAATAACTTTTTTTTATAACACACCCTTTACTAACTACCATTAAAAATTCAAAACCAAATTTATGATTTAAAATTAATTCAAGCATTATCATTCATTTCTCTTATTTTCTCCATAAAACTTTAGCCATGCCATTCTATTTTCTTGGAATAGAAGTTTTATCCCAATCTTTGCGCCACTTACCTTAGGTGTATTACTTCCACCTTTTCAATCTAAAACCTTCAACAATTTAGCAAAATCAAATGAGCTTCAAATATACAAATAACCGCATGTAAGCCCATCATTTAAATTCCTTTATAGATCTATAGGTGAATTCCTAATCAATAATTTCCATCAATGTTTAGAAGTTAAATTTTTTTTCCTTATACAAGCCCTTCAATGACATTTCATAAGCATCAACAACATATCTAAGCTTGTCTCTTCCAATTTTACCTCAATAAATTCTTTAGCTTTAGCTAAATCAAACAAAATCAATTTAAATCTAAAATTATGACCCATCTGTTTCATCATCAATCTTCAATACTACTGCATATTTTTTATTAATTCAGTCATGGGCAGTAATAGAAAATCAAGAAATGAAAAGAAATTTCAATATTATCTCATCATACCCATAGGTGCATTAGTTACCAAGAAGAAAGAGAGAAGGGATCAAGACTCTTCACCTCAAATGAGCCAACGGCATACAGCAGGGGAGGAGGAAAATGAAATTCATGGCTAAGCAAGAGGAAAAACAGAGCACTATTCAAAAGAAAGTGAAGAGAACTGAATCCACCAATTTCTAGCGAGCTGATTTCTTCCATTCATTAGCAACATATGAATGAAATTTGAGAAAATAGAGCAAGAATCAGGATGAGTAGAAGGAAGCATAACAAACTAAGAACATAGTTGAGAAACTTGACAGTAGTAACAAAAAAAAAATCCCATAATCTGTACCTCACTCAACTGAGACCGAATAAGGAAGCAAGATGAGTCACAGCTCTATATAACGAGCTAAAAGGAAGAAGAAGAAGAGAGAAGGTTCGCTGCACGACTCTAACACGAGAAGAGCAAAAGAGTTCCAGCGAACTCACAGCACTTGAGATGGACGAAAGAAAAATGACAAGGAAGCTTGGAATGTTCGCACAGTTCATGGACAACAAGATAAGAGAGAATGAAGTGAAAACAGGGGAGAACAACCAGTCATTGAACGTCTCCCATGGTGGATTTTTTGGCTCTCCCAAGGTCATCGGTGAGTAGTTTAATGACAGGGATGATGATAATGGATGAAGGGCTGAACGATAAGGGTTCGAAGTTTTTTGGTGAAGCCTACAGCTTTCTTGACTCATGCACTAATTCTGCTGGAGAAAGGAAAAGAGAAGGAATTATATCACAATGGGAGAAGGGCAATTTGGTAATTTTGCATAGCAAAAAGAAGCAAAAAAATTGATTCTTCATTTAGTCTTTTCTGGATTCGAACTAGAGACTTGATATATGAAGTCTTCCCCATCTACCACTAAACCAAGTCTCTAACTTGTGATATTTATTCCAAGAACTAATATAAACACACTTTAAGCAAGTTAACCTATATATTTATTTATTTATTTATTTTAAATTTAGTCAGGGTTATTATAAAAAATGATTTAAAAATATAAATAAATATTCACTTGGAGGGGTGAGCTTCAAGGTTAAAGGAGGTGCTTCAATGAGCTGGAGGTTGAGCTGGAGCAATGGAAGTTAGTGGTTGAGCTAAGGGAAAGACATCATGCACGAAAGAGCTAAAGGCGAGCTGACGGGTAAGCTGAGTGGCAAAGGAGGCATGAGCTTCAAGGCTGAGGAAGAGCAAGCTAGGGGGAGCGAGCTAAGGGATGCGAGCTCAGAAGTGGTGGAGGCACGAGCTTAAAGGGGCAGAGGAGGCAAGTTGAGGGGTGAGCTATGGGGAAATATTCGGAAAAAAAAAACCAAAATACTTATAAGCTGAGGGAAGAGCCTTATAACGACAATTCCCATGAGAGCTGTCATTATATGATTAGTTTCACAATAGGCCATTTGTCATAAATCACCTATTGTGAATTATGTAATGATAGGTCTACTTGGACCTATCGTTAATTAATCATATCACAACAGGCACATCCATGCCTATCATGATATGCAACAAAATTTAAAAAGTGAGCACTGACCACAGGGTATCACAATAAGTAATAAATAGCCTATCATGATACCTAACTTATTTTAAAAAATTTATTTATTTTATTTAATTAGCTAACTATATCATAATAGGCATATTAATGCTTGTCGTGATATCCAACGAATTTTAAACATTATGAGGCAGACCATTGGTATCATGACAGACAATATATAGCCTATCATGATATCTAATAATTTTTTAAAAAAATTTCTTTTTTTAATAATTAACTAATGATATCACAACAGGCACATTAATGCTTGTCATGATATCCAATGAATTTTGAATCCTAGATTCATGAGGTGTTGACCATAGGATATCATGACAAGCAATCAATAGCCAGTCGTGATAACCAATAACATTTTTAAATAATTTTTTTAATAATTAGCTAATGATATCATGACAGGCACATTAATGCTTGTCATGATATCCAATGAATTTTGAATCCTAGATTCATGAGGTGTTAACCATAGGATATCATGACAAGCAATCAATAGCCAGTCGTGATAACCAATAACATTTTTAAATAATTTTTTTAATAATTAGCTAATGATATCACGACAGGCCATTTTTGGCCTATCGTGATATCCAATCTAATTATTTTTTTCATGATCAGCTCAAGATATCATGTCCTGATATCTTAATAATTTATTTTTCTTAAATTTTTTTAATTTGATCAGCTGTATATATCATGACAGGTTGTTATTGGCCTGTCGTGACATTAACTATGTTTTTAAATAAATTTCTTCCTTCTTAATTTTAGTAAGCGGAGCTTTGGGTTTCATTTGTTTTTGTAAAATAATTTATTCCACAAGTACGGGATGTCATGACAGGCCATTAATGGCCTGTCATTATATCCTTTATTTTTTAAAATAGTTACTTCTTTTTTTAGTGTAATAATATCATTTAATTTATTTAAATAATTTATTAATTTATATATATATATATATATTTTTACATTTGAAATAATTATTAATTAAATTTTTTATAATTATAACAACATTTGTTTTGTTTAATTGTGGTTATAAGTGCATAGTTTCTAGCTTTAATTACTAAAATTACCATTGAGTATGTTATAACCACAGTTACTTCTATAACTATGTTTAAAAGTGTGTCATTAAAACTCTCTTTTGTACTAGTGCTTCTTCTCTTTACTTTGCTGCATATATGCTGACTTTGCTGCCTTAGAAGCCATGCATGGCTGATTTTCTCTTAATCTAGGGTAGCTATGAACTGATTCATAGATTAGAGCATGTTTAAACTATTTATTTGAGCTTAATATTAATTTTGTTTACTTAATCTTGTGCTTATTTGTCTACATAATGCTTTGCCATCATTGAGTATGAATTTGAGAGTTTAGGTTTTGCCTTAGAAGAAGAAAATCTGAATTAGACCATTAGATTGAGTAATGTGGGATTAGAAATTATTCTAATTTTTCAATATGATAGGAATATACCTATTAGACCCATATAATCACATTAGAGAGAGTTTGCGTGTAATGACTTAGGATTTTAAATTAAATGATTTTTCATCTAATTAATATTTTATTAAATTGTTCAAGTTTTATGATGAATAAGAAATAGTGTGCTTAGTGAAAATTATGTTGGTCTCTATTTAAATGATTGGGGGTTCGAATCTTACCTATGTCAAAGGTGATTTTATTTTTTCTGGTGATTAATGAAATTACCAAAATATCCTTGACTTTTGTGTTATTAAAGAAAATATCTTCTGGGTCTTTTGTAATTTTTCTAAGCTGTAATATTTTAAAACTCCCTCTGTCGGTCGAAGAAAACAGAGCACAGTAAGAAAGAGTCCAGTTTCTTCTACACACGAGAGTCTAGTTTCTTCTACACACGTCTTCTCCACATCACCGACTTGCTTATCTGATCCCCGCCAGCAACTAGCGCCCCATGCCATCGAAATTTCTCCACCGTAAATTATGAGGCTGTCCAGTTTTCTTTTCTCCTTTCTTCCCCTGTTTTTCTGTTACGTGAGCCATGCTGGTGTGTGTGTGTGATGTTGGCTTTTCTCTCCTCTGTCTCGTCACCAGTGAGGTGGGCTGCTAAAATCCTTGCCTTTCTGTCATTCATCGCACCTCCTCTATCCGTATCCATCGTGGTTGCTGCTGTTAGACCTTTCTCGAGCAGCAACATCGTTGGCACTGGTTCATTTACGTCGTCGCCATTTCGGTGGTCATAGGGTACATCGGTCTTCCCTTGGTTCTGTTTCCTGGTGCCAGAAATCTCTCCCTGATTCATGTTGGGCGAGTATAGTAACTCGTTGGAGATGAGAGAATTCCAAATCTCTGCTCTGCGATCTCCGGCCTCCATTTTTTTTTCATTCACCTTCACTTCTTTTCTGTTCATGTTGGCGACCAGATTGGGAGGGGTATCTGCGTTCTACCTCCCTGTTCACACGCCCAGAATCTCCTTCTGTTTGCTGTTGCCATTGCTAAGGTAAGGATCCTAGAATCTCCTCTTCCTTATTGATGCTATGTGCGTACTAGATGGCTAGAAAGTTTGATGCGTTCTTTCTTGCTCTGTTGCTGTGGATGACTTTTGTACAGTAGGAGTTTGAGTAATTTGAATTTAAAACTTATGGGGGCATTTCTATTAAATAATCTTGATAATTGTTTGAGGATCAATGCCCGCAAAATGTTCAATAAAATGTTCAAAAAGAAATCTTGTTATATAGTGATGTGATATATATGTATATATATATTTGATGGTTATGTTGTTGATTAGATAAACCATCATTAGAGGACAATTACCTTTTGCAAAACTTGGTAAGTTGATTCAATTATTCATTATCTATTTAATAAAATTTTGGAAGGTGGAATCAAGGAGGAAAAAGTTTGGTTCAAGTTTAAGAATTAATGCATGAAAGGTGATTGAAAATAAATAAATAAATAAATACATAAATAAAATAAAAAAAATGTCTATTGGGATGAGTTTTATCTTATTATGTAATTTATGAAAAACAAAATGCATTTTGTATAGGTGATATTTAAGTTAACTTAGCTTTGTGAAAATTTTTTTTTATCATGTAGCTGTTGGATGGCTAATTGAATTTTTGGAAATTGTACTATTGATGATTTATAAATAATGGTGTTGATTTATGTCTCGTTTTATGGTGCACTTAAGGTATTTGATGAAGTGAGTTATGGATATAATTTCTTAATTTAATAGAGTAATAAAGCTCAGGTGTGCATGCATGTTCATACTTTGATCAAAATTTAGTTAGCTCTTGATTCGAGTTAGAAAGACAAGTGTAACATAGAGAAAGCTTTGAATAAACAAATAATATGTAGTATCGTGAGGATTGAAAAGACTTGAGATATGTATAGGATCAATTTGAGAACTTAGGGTATATTGTCCCTGTTATGGAAAAGGAGTTTTATTAGACTCGGATAAAGGTCACTAAAATTTCCGCATTATTGAATAGGGGATCTGAAGAAAAGAAATCTTGATTGAAGTAGTAAGGAAGGTTTGTTTGAAGCGTTAAAGGGTGAATTTTTATGCTTGGGAATATTGCAGGTAAGTGGATAGCGTCCCAACTGATTTTTTTCAATTAAAATTTTCTTTAGTAAACTATTACATTTTTCTGAAAATCATTTTAATAGCATTAATGCGATTATTGGATATTTGTTGATTAACATTGCTTTATTTTGAGAAATTAGCTTTACCAAATTTAAAATGTTATTTGATCAATTAAATCAAGTTTGGACTTTGATTGTGAGATTTTTATTTTATCAAATATTGGATTGATACAGAGAATGATTCTTGCTATTCAGCTTTAAAAATTTTGATTATCCGATAAATGCAAGCACGAGCATTGGATATGAAATTTTATTCTGGCAATTTTAATGCTTAAAAGTATTCATGCGAGTTTGATTTTGAGAACGAGAATTGTATCTTGAAAGTGATAATTTTCTCGCATGTTTGAAAATGGTTTAAAAAAAAAGAAAGGGACTTTATACGGAACACTGGTTGCTAACGGCAGTTCCGTTAGCCCTTGGCGCGCCATGGTACACCTAGCTAGCAGGGTGTTTTATAGGAGGTGCTAGCCCCGTGCGATGGCCAACGCATGTGGAACGGAGGGATGGTTATTCGTGGGCTTTGGACCCGCATTTGATTTCGTGGCTTCAAGCCGCATTTGGTTAGCATTACCTTCATGGACTGTGTGTCCACGTTTGTTTCACGGTGAAAGCCACGTTAGGTTATTTACCCTCGTGGACTGTGTATCCACGTTTGTTTTCGTGGCGAGAGCCGCGTTTGGTTATTGACCTTCGTGGACTGTGTGTCCACGTTTGTTAATTGTTCTGATAAGTCCCTATTATATGAATTTGATTGTTTGGAAATTTTACATCCCATTGGTTTTAAATAGTAAATTATTTATAATTATTTATTTTGTTTATTTGCTTCCTTGCGATCAAGTGATAATATTATTTGATACGATATTTTAATGGTTTGAGATTTTACTTTAAATTTTATAGAATCCTTTTATTTCGGAAGTTTATTAAATTGTTATGAAGATCATTGCCTCTTTAAATTGCATAATTATTTCAACTTTCTTTTTATTCATGTTCAATTAATTATTGTTGGGACGTTATTCACTGAAAATTATTATTTTGGTTTCAGATACGTTAGCTGATGTTGTGCCTTCCGCTAATCCTTGAGGGGCTGAAATATTCAGTTGAGATCAAACTTCTTTTAAGTAAATTTCTTATGTCAGGTGCTCCATATAAACTATAGTTAGGGTCCTCATCCTTATGATTTATACTTTGATATTTACTGATCGGAAGAGAATTCCTTGCTGCTGCTACTACTTTGTAAAATATTAAACTTTTGTTTGTATGGTTGGTATTGAAGATAACTTAATTTATTATCAAAGGTTTTCATGGCTTATAAATTAGAGTTTTCTTGAGTAAAGACTTTTAGGATATGGATATTATCTCTATATTTTTTGTGCCAAACATGTTATATTTTCGGGTGTGACATTGCGCCTTTTTTCCTCTTGGGTATTTGTATTAGGAATAGCATATTAATTCAAGAGAGGAGTGTAATTAATCAAAAGATAATTATTCCTATTTATACTCTAGATTAACAAGTTAATATTAAGTAAATTTATTTGGGTAATTACATGCTCTATGAATTGAAGAAGGGATTAGCCACCCTAAGTTACCTTGACTATTTATGGTTATTGGAATTTTAATTTTAGTGCATTTTCTAATTTCAATCTTTATTTTGAAATATCAAATCCAAATCTTGCTTTGGTTGACTTAAATGAAAATGAAAAATTTATTATCTAATTATTAATTAATTTAATTCTATGTGGAAATGACTTTGATTTATCACATATTATTTTTGCAATCCATACACTTGTGGAATTTGTTACATATTTGTGAGCATCACCCTCTGAGTTTTATTGAAAAGCTATCATCTTTGACTTCTCTAATATTATACGAACACCTTCCTCATAGCCAACGTACGCTGCATCATGAAGGGGAGTATTACCGTTTTCATCCCTTTGATACATTAGCTCATCTTTCGGATTCACTATCCTTTGCAATAGACCTGCACTTAAAAACTAGCATATGAGAAGTGAAAGAGAAACAAACACAAAAGCAGCATGCTGATTAATTAATTAGTATATGCATACAAACTATGCTTTTCTTTTGTGTTTTTTTTTTTTTTTTGATATGGCAACGTGAAGTGGGCAATCTCCATTTAAAATGGCATGGATTGAGTGAAATGGAATTTGCAAGAGATGTTCAAGAATCGCCATACTCTCAGTCAAGACTGCCAAATATAGAGGTCATTTACAACGATGGTCGGAGTCCCAAGTCCAATAGGAAGCCTGCTGATCCCTAGGAGTATGTTCATTACTTAAAAGGACATTAACTCCCTCAAGAGGCTTGGACAAAACTGCTTCGTGCAAAGTTGTGTTCCCGTAATTATTCTTTGATGTTAAAAATTGCCCTATATCATTCAATTCGACCAACCCAGATGGAATGAGCTCTTTACATTTGGATAGAATGACATTCATTGCTTCAATATTCTTAGCCCTGGCAGCAACATGAAGTGGAGTGTCTCTTTCATGTTTCTCTTATTCAAAAGCACGAGAAAGTGTTGAACAATCAGCTCTACAACTTCTACTTTCCCGAATTCATCAAAAACATAGAACAACAAATCACCTGTGGAAGCAACATGATTGAAGATGATGGACACATGAAGTCGGTTTATTTCACATACCCTCTACAATACATCAAAAAAGGTATCTACAACTATATTCCCATCACGAACAACCTTATACAGCTTGTAATCCAAAATAACTTCATTATTGTCACCAAATCTTCGATGATCAATTGATGTATTGAATTTCGTGTTCATGAGTTGACGCACCTTTTTGTTGCATTGCTCCCTTTGACTGGAATCATACGCTGCCATGGGAATTTGATATGATTTAAATTTCTCAATGCGAACCAAAATGTTAAAGTTAGTAACTGTTTGCCTAAGTGCAATTTAATTCAGCATAAGGGAAGCTTTATATAGTGATGCAACTCATGTCCCTTGGACCAGTTAGGACCTTTGTTAAGAATCATCCAATAAAACGATTGCAATATTAAGAATCTTTTTAATAATGACAAACAATTATTTTAAAAATAAAAATAGTTTTTATACTTAGTTACAAGTGAATTCCAAAAGCTATGCCCTAACTAATTCAAATCAAGTCCCTTGGACCAGTCATGACCTTTGTTAGGATGAGCCTGTCTCGAATCACTTGAGTCTTACTTTTTGTTAGACATACTTTGATATTATGTACTATGGGTCATTAACCTTTCTTTTTGCCAAAAAAAAAAAAATTTAAATTGGACTTAGTCTGAAATAGGTGAATTTCCTAGTGAAGAAATTGATTTTTCAGTAGCGGAAGTTATGTTTTATACCTATATTATATATTTTTAGTAGTGTCATTTTTAGTTTCCAATAATTTGTATAGTTAACTCCCTACCACAAAGGTAGATATAACTGCGGATGAAATTTGTGTAACCATGCTGCAAAATCACTTTGACATTCACCTTTTTCATTCTTGAATTAAATTAGTATTGGAAACTAAAAACAAGACTATTGGAAAAAGTATAAGATGTATATGAAATTTGCATAACCCTACCATTGAAAAATACTAATCTAACCTATAAATTCACCTATATATTTTAGACTTGTTAAGAACTAAAAATAAAACTACTGAAAAGGTATAATGTTGCTATTGAAATGCCCTAACCTCATTCGAAAATTTATTTATTCTACACTAAGATTAAATTATTTTTTCTAAAGTTAACGACTTAATTCTCCAATGGCAAGCCAAGGTCCGCCGTGAGTCTTTGGTGATTGATTAGTCTTAGAGGGTCCTTGAATAGAACAAACTATCAAAGGACCTATCATGGGATTTGTAATTGTCATTCTCCTAGTATATATATGTGTGCTTGAATACATATTAAAGGATTTAGGGAGAGAGAAAGTAATGGAATGAATGACGTTATTATCTGTGTAACAATAGAATATATACACGTGATATAGGACACGCGTACAGCAGAGAACATAACAGAAGTGGTTATATACAACAACAATAACAACAACATCAACAACAACAAGCCTTTATCTTACTAGGTAAGGTCGATTTCATGGATTGCAAGATGCCATTATGCTCTATCATTTACCAAGCTTTTAGAAATATTATTAATTAAGAAATTGCATTCAACAACTCCTAAGAGTGTTTTCTTAGGCCTTCTTCTACCCCTCTTAACAAGGCTCAAAGTTATATGTTTCACTTTTCTCACTGGTGCCTCCCATGGTCTTCTTTGTATATGCCCAAACCATCTCAAATAATTTTCTATCATTTTTTCCTCAATAGGTGCTACCCCTACTTTTTCGCATACGTGCTCATTTCGAATTTTATCTTTACATGTATAGCCGCACATCTATCGTAACATTCTCATCTCTGCTACTCCAACTTTATGCTTTTGTTGTCCCATTAGAGCCCAGCATTCACTATCATGTAACATAGCAGTCACACCCCAAAAATAGAGTGACTGGTACGGGTGCAAAATGAACCACTCACATGTTCCCGTAAGCCTCAAAATGAACATTTATTCCATTTTACAAAAGAAAAGAACAAAATTTAATCAAATCACGTGATAATTAAAATAACTCCTTTAAACTTATTATCATAAGAAAGTGTTGATGTTTTTATAGAAATTTTAGCAAAACCTCCCCTGTAACTAGGATCTCCTGAAAATTCTACAACAAATTTTTTTATAGATAATAGTATAAATTAAGAGCGTAGCTTCTTCCAGCCATTAACCAATATACAGACCAAAAATAAGGTTTATTAACAACTTATGTGGAGCATCTACTCTTTCTTTCAAATCAAAATGACATACAAATTATATATTTACATTAAAAGAAACAATATCAATCAAAATGTCCACCCACTGTAGCCAGTTGCCCTTTAGAGGTTGATGGTGGGATTAACATCAGTTAACAAATCTGAGACCAAAATAATTTTTCTAATGAATAGCATTCCCATGGTAAAATTCTTAGAATTTAAATCAATAAACTCTAATAGTGGTGTCAATTAATTAAAAATGATTCCACAAAGATTTATAAGCCTATAAGTTATATCCATAATTGTAAAATAAGAGTAAATTGAAAACAATTTATGTTATCATGCTTAAAGAAAATAATTTACTCACACATTCCTCAAAGTGGTAAAATTGTTAGCCAAAATCATGTAAATTTTAAAAACACTTTAATCTACATTTAAAATCTTGAGAACTCAACAGAATATGTTACAAACGTGAACACACAGTCTACGAGGGTAAATAACTAAACGCGACTTATGTCACGAAAGCAAACGTGGACACACCAGTCCACGAGGGTAAGTAACCAAACGCAGCCGAAGCTACGAAAAAAACATGGACAAACAGTCCATGAGGGTAAATAACCAAATGTGGCTCGGGCCACAGAATCAAACATGGGTACAAAGCCCACGAATACCAAACGTGAGAATAAAGCTCACGAAACAAACTAGCTAGTTTTTTAACTACAGCGCTACGTGCTAACGAAACTGCCATTAGCAGCAGTGTTCTATTTCGAGTTCTCTTAAAATCACATTTCAAACATGTGAGAAAAACAATTATTATTGAAATAAATTATCATCCCTACTACCAAACTTGCATGACTTGTTTCAAATATTAATATTTGTCAAAATCATAAACTTGCATTAATTAAGTATCCAATAAATTTCAAAGTTTAACAACCATATAGGAATGCTTTTATCCATCTTGAAAATATATTTTCAAGAATTAATAAATGCACATATCATATCTCATTTGTCCTTCATTGATATTTCATAATTTTCAAAATTAATATAATCTATAAGAATAGAATATTTCAAGAAAAAGGCTATTAAAAATAAAAATAAATTAAATGGAATGCTATTCACTTACTCGTCAGAACTTCAAACTCTCAAAGATATCCTTTCCTCTAATTCTGGTTAGGGCCCCATTCTTCCTCATACCCTATCAGAATATAAATAAATAAAATTTTTAACCTAACTTCAAATCAACCATTATAATTTAAAATTCCAAAACCAGCATCATATTTATAATTAATCCAAGTGTTATCATTAACATCGCTAATCCCCACTGATTTATTTTAGTCAAACCTAGGGCTGTGCATGGGTAGGGTCGGGTAGGGCA